CGGTTGCGCGACTTACAAGACGAGAGACGGACTCGATTGGAATCCGCTTCCTCGAATCGAGAACAGCTCCGATCTCAGATCAGCCGTGTGCGGGAAACCATCGATCGAGTCCTGAACGAAGACACCACGTTGGCCGACAGGATCCGAATTTTGTTCCGAGAGCAAGGGATCACCATCGCCAGCGTTCTTACGGCATTGGGCTTCATCATATCAACCCTGGTCGTAGCGCTGACTGGCGGGATGGTGGACCACACACCCCCCAACCCCACCAAGTGGCGACGTCAGAGATTGGGTAAAAAAATTTAGGGAAGCCTTGGCTAAACTTGCCGGTTAAGCCGACCGAAGCGCTTCTGGGAATCTTGAGTAGCATCGTCTCTTGGCTACTGAGTATGCTGTCGAAAACTGTCACGTGGCTCGGTCAAAACCTGTGGGCGTTCATCATCGCCGTAGCCGGGCTGGTCTACATGGCCACTAAGGAATTTTTAACCAAATGAGGCAGACCCGACCGCGATTCAGTCAACCACTAGCGCTGTTTTACGATCGAGGTGTTCTTTATTTTCAGCCACCTTGTGTGGTGGAAGGGGCTGTGTGGGTGCTGGGCTCCGGGGATGACGCCACTATACCCGTTTCACCGGTATTCACCTTGGGTGTGACGTTTAAGACATTGATATCTGGGTTGATATTCAACTTTTGATCGGTGGTGGCGATGACTATTTCATTGTTGTAGCCCACTACTTTATGGATTCTCAGTTGCATGTCACTAGGGGCCATGTACAATCCCACTCCGAACACGTAGTTGACTTTCGACCGGGCATATTCCAACACATTTTGGTAGCGTTGGATAGCACTCGGTAGATCAACTGGAGCATTGATAGCATCCTCGACGTTGACCACGAACTGTTTCTGCCGTCGTAAGCCGTCCCTTTCCCCACAATGTCGGAACGCGTTTGAGTCTGCGCTCCCAGCAGCGCCCACACCTACGTTTGAATCGAGTCGTTCAAGCGTTCGGTGCCGGCACGAGTGAACCCTCTCGATGTGTCCAGCATCAACATTTTCCAATTGTCCGCAGACCCCTGCTCAAACCTCCAAACACGATAATCCTTTCTGTCATCGAAAGCCATGAGATCATCTCTCCACTCGTTACTCATGACGTAAGCACCTGCATACGTTTTACCACACCATTCTTTCAACTTCTTGCTGGCTTCTACGAGGGGCATATTGTGAACGATAGGAATATCCAAACCGTGATTCACGCCTGGCAAACACCAATCTGTGTTCGGATCGATTTCAAATTCGTTGCAAATTCTTTTGTATGCCCGTCAATCGTACGGATTGTTTACCGCATCCCATGCTTTGTCCTGTGGAAGCGGAGCGCTGATTTCTTTGAGGATACGTCTGATCTGGTAGTACATGTGAAACATAAACACAGACTGACTCAGCGGGCCACGCTGAGTGTCGCTTAACGTCACACCGCACCCCGTTGTAGAGCACCACACGGTAAAATTGAATTGAACTGCATCGGGTTGTTAAACCAAGCGTCTACCGTCTTAACGTTCGTCACCGAAAACCTGTAATTTTTAAACACATCGATAAATGGTGCTTTGAAATGCAACCCATCTGCATCGACCACGATCTTCATGTGTGTGAAATTGGAAGTATCGCTTTTAGAATAAAACACTCCCGGTTTGTACATGTTGAATTGTTATATAATATATAATATATACTTCCAATATGTACGTGACGCTTCCGGGAATAACGAGCGGTGAGACAGTTCAACTGCTGCACGCGATCAACAACACGAGTCAGCTCGAAGTCGCACTCTGCGACATCACCTACTACCCGCCATGGACCAACATCAACAGCAAAAACAACAGGATGTTCGTCAACGACACACGCAACCAAATAACGGACGGCTACTACAGTGTGTGCTCTCTCAACGAAGAAATCTTCAAACCCGTGGGAGCAGAACTCAAAATGAACGACTCGAACGGCACGGCCGTGTTAGCGAACAACGGGAAAAACGACTTGAGACTCAGTAAGCCGTTGACTCAAATGCTCGGGTTTACATCAAACGACATTCAACCAAAAACCACCGTGACCGGCACGAAATTACCCGATCTTGTTCCGTACCATGAACTGTGCATTCATCTCGATCAGCTGAGCACAACGGACAACGTTCAAGGTGAACACCCTTCCACGCTGTTGAGAGCCGTACCAGTGAAAACGGAAAAGTATAACGATGACAGAACCGAATCGTTTTCGTCACGGCAGTAGAAGAAATTAACCTGAGGCACCATCTCGGAATTAAAAGTATCTGTTTTAGATATAAAACATAATCCTGTGAATATAGGATACCTCAGCGTGACGCTGCACATACGATAATGACTAGCGCCCAAGGTCCCGGAATGCGATTGAAAAAATGCGTTAATATAGTGGTCTCCGACCTCGGGGACACGCGCGGATTCGACGAACCAGGAATAGACGGTAAACTGTATGCCTTGCAACTGAAAAACAATATTTACAAACGCGTCGAAGTCCCCACCGTCGGTGGATCTGGCAGTAACTTAGACGATATCGTCGATACATCAAGAGCTGTCAGCAACACTCGGTACGACCTAGTCCGCAATGACGAGGATGAATGGATGATATACCCAGCGTTCGGCGGCAAGCTGTTCGACTTAAACGACGTCGAGACCACGGTCGTCGTTCGAAACAAGCAGTATGCCCTCGTCTTCACCGACGACAACAAATGGATTTTAACACAATCTCGAGTCGACTGGTTTCTCAACATCACGCTCGGCTCTCCCTACGTGTTCACGGAAAACAAAGACCACTACCTAAACAAAGTCGTGAACAACGGAACCCTGCTCGTGGCTTACGTCCCGACGCATAGGCGCAGTGTAATCATCAGCGCAGTCTCAAGTATGGCAGCCCACATGCTATCGAGTAAACATGGGGAGCAAAACGTGGGGTTGCAGGTGGTGTCTGAATTCGACGGCGTTGTCAACATCCTGGAAAATCTACCGGATAATTCCACGCTGGTCATCCAAGTCTACCTCGGTGAACCATCACCGCGTGAAGTCGAAATCGTGAAAGGAATCAAACTCCGGTGGACCAAACAACATCAATATCACGTTTGTTCTGTTTACGTGCGGGTGAACGTCGATTCCCACACCAGTCTGCAGGGAGTCACCGTTACCGTGGAAGACACGATATCACTCACCAAAATTTTCCTACCCGACAACATACATCTCATGGGGTTGAAGTGCACACCTGAGAAATTATCAGAAAAACAATTGGAAACTATTTTATAACATTTTTATATAGACAATGAACAGTCGTCATCCCAACGTCACGCTTGGTGATCCTGGAGACATGGAGGGATTCGATCAGGCCGGAGAAGAAAACACCTTGTACGTCCTACACTTGAAAGACAACGTGTACGAGCGGGTGTCGCTAGCAGACTTTAAAGAGCCCGAATGGTTGATCAACATAACCCTCACCGCACCTCATATCTCATTTAAACAAAATGGTTACGTCTCCGAGATTAAGAGCAACGGTATCATTCTCGGGTCTTTCATTCCGGATAATAATATACAAGTTATACGAATACCAGGTCACTCAGGCAACATGTTAGCTCCAAGCGATGAGACTGTATATTTAAGCTCCGATTCACCCGATTACAAGCAGAAGGTTTTGACTACGGGGCCAGACACCACACTCATCATAGAAGTCTATCTCGGGAACACTAGTAACCATGCAGGCCCTTTAAACGGGTTGGTAATAATCTGGGAAGACAGGCACAATTACCAACGTTGTCGTATCATCGTACAACCAGGATCAGCACCCTTAGTAAGCCTCGAGGGGGTCCGTGTTTTGGTCCAAGATATGCCTCTTGATGTCTCAGGGATTTTCGTGGATAAAAATCTAAGCCTTATAAGTCTCAAATACATTAATAAGAAATTAACGAAAAACCAATTAAATTTTATCTTATAATATATAATACACAAACACAGGATGGGGCTGTACCCAGTCGTAGAAGAAGTAGCAAAAACAATGGAAACCGTAGACGGGTTTCGTTTGAGACAGTTATGTGATGTAAAACGTCAACTAGAACAAGATCGAGATATACGGACAGCATTATGTAAGAAATACCATAAAGCTTTCAATTTCGTGGATGGGGCTGATACCACCCTTATGGCAACCAGCATGGGATTAGGAGCAGTAGGTGTCGGTTTGTTGACCACCATCGTAGCCGCACCCATAGTGCTGGGCATTGAAATAACAGCTGGGGTGTCAGGGTTGGTGGGGTTGGTGTTTAAGTTTGCATCCCGCAGATTACATCGTAAAGCATTGAAACAGGACGAAATTAGAATTCTAGCCGAAGCAAAGTTAAACACAATAGACGACCGTATTTCCACCGCACTCACTGACAGTAAAATCTCAGAGGAAGAATTTCGTTTGGTCCTCTCTGAACTCGCAAAATATCACAGAATGAAACAAGAGATTCGGTCCAAGTCTCGTAAAAGCACTGCCATCAGTGAAGACGAGAAAAAAAAGTACATAGAACAAGGGAAACAACAAGCCCAACAAGCTTTCATTACGAAAACCAAAGAAATCATAGGAGATTCACATTAAATTGTTTCACTGAGATTAACATTATATAGTTTATTGATGTGAAAATTTATTGCTAGGACAAACAACACTTACCTCCCAGTCGAGTGATCACAATAGTGCACGTGACCAGGAAGTGTTGGCTTGAGTCATAGGCTGCGTGACCAGGAAAGTGCCGATTCGCGGTCATAGTGACCAGGAAGTTGGCTGGGGATTCAAAAGTGGTATGCACACTAGCGGAGAGAGATAAGGGCCTGACAAAAGCTTTATTTAATAAATAAAGCTTTACAGAGTCTTTTGTTGGAAGTGATCTCGTAAGCTTGATTACCCCAAGCTGGACCTGGGCTCCTATTGTATTATTGTGGGAGAGCAGGGTGATCTTTTGTTCTTAACTCAGAGGGCAAGCTATTCCTTGATCTCTGATTGGTCAGTTTTATGTTGTATGATTTCTTCTTTACTAACATCAGCACATTTTAGTCAGTCTACCACATACAGCCGCACGAGAAGCATCTTACATATGACGTACGTGATATTTTTGACAGACGTCTGATTTCTTCTCTTTGGTCTACAACTTCACTCTGTCTAAGGTTAGTTGACTAAATTATAAACATATTATGTAGGATGTAATATCTGTTAAGTACAGTTATATTATAAACATTAATTTTGCTTACGTTTTAATATTGTGAGATGTGAAGGCATGAATGAGTTTTAAGAATATAGTGTAAGTCAAATATGGTGTGTTTATAGGCATGGTTTTCATGTTTACTGCATCAGCATTTTCATTATAAGTTTATTTGTAATAATTGTAATCTTTTATGAGGTCAGGTGACACACAAGCATGTGTGCCTGCTTAGCGGCCATCTTTGTCGGCCATGTTGTCTACTTGATGGTACATGTAATGTCTGTGCCACTTGAGATACCATATTATTTTAACAACTGTTCATTGTATATATTTATAAGAATATCACAGTACAGGTAATGTTGTGCTGTAAGGTATATGTATATGTTTATTAAGTAGGTTTGTTTTAAAGAGTGATATATGTTTCATTATGATATAAGAATAGGTTAGCGTAATATACTTAATGGTGTGTTATATTACTTATAGATGGACATGCTGTTTCACTAAGGTGGACAATGTAATATCACCTGAGTACCATATATTTGGTAGGTATTTTATCCTTTTAACGTGTTTATATTTCATGTATATATCATTGCCACAGATATGTGTAATCTACTTTATTAGTACAGATGTGATATGTTACAGGGTGAAAACAAAACAAACTATATAATTGAGAAATAAAGTAGTGGCACAAGTCACAACTCACACCCCAGCAGGCGTTGGTCTTCATGGAACAGAACCACCCCTTACCCTGCTACAATTATTTAACATTTATTGTGACCATAGGCATACCACACATAGCATAGCCAAGGACATCTAATAGCAGTGTGCAAAATAGCCACTGGCCCGCTAGCCCGTGGTTAGTAAAAATTAAGTTGGGCCAGTAAATCTCCACAGTCACTGGCTGACTGGCTAGTAAATTTTCATGGGGTCATTTTGTAAATATCTGATTCTCTCCGACTTGTTAAGTTTTAATAAACTTTTAAATCCTGCAAGATTATGGTCTGATAAAAATGTTCCTCACATAAGCAGCTTAATGATGAAACCTGTGTCATGCCGACAATATCTTATTCTCATCTATTTTTGTAATCTTTTGCTCAGTTTCTACATTCAAATTTCGGGCTAGTGAATTATCTGGCACTATATAATGGCACTTTATTCAAATACATTCTTTTTGTCGCAGAATATGACAAGCATGGGTATTTGTAGTGATGGGGATAGAACCTCTTTGTTGAAAATCAATAGTAAGAAGCCATGACATATTTAAAGCTGTAGTGTCAATGAAAACAGAAATGGCATGCCTTATATAGAGGTACTAACATCTGTAATGTAACACAAAATTGCAAGAAAGTATAATTCAACCCTTTCCTTATATATTTCAGTGTGAAAGGGGATAATACCTGAAGATCAAAGAAACGGCTGTATCTCCTGTAGATAACATACTGACCACCCTCCGACCAAGAGACATGGATGACATACACCTGTAAAGAAACAATCATACATGAAAACTGACATCCTAAACACAGTGACTCTAAAATGTCACTTATACCACTTTCTGCTTCTGTATTTATCATGGCATAAAAAATAACCAGGGTAGGAGATCATATTTTTTCACTGCCTGCACCAGGTGCAACCAAGGGATTTAATCAGGTTGCACCATGTTATAAACAATATTTCCGCTGTCACTTACATTCATGACAAATTATACTGGGACTCTCTATTATCGCGGGCTCTCTATTATCGCAGCACGCGAAAACATCGGGAAAGCAGAAACACCACGCCCCGCATCGGCTGTTTACATATGCAAAAAGTCGTCATCGCTCTTGAAAAAGTAATTTATTTCATTGGAATGTTATGTGTAATCGGAGACATATTAAAGCATTCATCTTTTCAGTAAGTTCTAGAACATTTTGACACTAGTATGACCCCTACTGCCCTTACATCTAGCATGAATCAAAACTTACTTCATCAAGAGCAATCCTGCGACAACTATAAGGTCATTTGCATATTTTCCGTGCTAAAAATATAACAGGAAGTGACATATTATGCAACTTCACTCTGCACACGGCAGCAACTTGTATGGTACGTTTTAAGCCCGGAAAAACAATTTTGTGTTACGTTATTGTTACCTTGTATCCAAATGAATAGAAGTTTCTGATGTTTGGGTTAAAAGCATGATGATATTACTAATGCGAATGAAATTCCTCAATATTTTTTAATGATCAAACTATTTAGATTCGTTACTTGTCTTAGTAAACGTTTCACAGTGTCATCTGCTTGTACCGCATGCCATAGTAAGAAAATAGCAATACCGCGATAATAGAGAGTTGCTTCAATTGCCCGCAATGGTATTAAACGATTTGCGACCATGTGTCACATTATTTGTGACAGAAATGAGGATTTAACATCAGTCAACTGAAAATATATATAAAATGCTAAATGTCAGTAGCCGTTCATAATCCCGATGGCGACAGGATTAACTACCGCGATAATAGAGGGTCCCATGATAAGTATCTCTAGAACTGCTCACAAAACTACATGTGTGGTGGAAGTTTTCGACAGATGGTTGCTATTTAACAGACTTTTTCATTCATATATTTGGTTTCTTTTTCCATCTGAATGCAGTCAGCAAAACCAACTTGTCTACAATTACAAGTAACATTACACACAGTGACCTCTGACCTTCTATGAAATTTCACAACATAGACAGACCCTGAAACAAATACATCCAGGAAAGCCCATACAAGTCTAGAATATGTGGCAAGTCTAGATTTCCACAGTTTCTGAAAATGAAGAAAAGCCTGATACACCTGATACACATGATAAGAAAAGATGAGAAATACAGTAAATATATATAATTAAAACTGCTGACATACACTTTTGGTGGAAAATATTACCTGCACTGGTTGCAACCTGACAATAAAAGTTACCGCCACTAGTAATATTTTACCTTCACCTGGAAATAGCAAAATTGATCCCTGATAACTAAGTATGGTTTTACAAATGTTTATAATTTTAACTATTAATTGCATATTCATAATATATACCCTATTCCACATTATGCCCTTTCTCTTGTTCTTCCATCCTTGGAGTAGACACAACCTGAAACAAAGTTTTCAGCATCTTCTAACACCTCACCCCAACAGACAACTATTGTTGAAGGCAGTCACTGGAAGCGTGCGTCTTAACATGGTTGACCACGTGACGACTCCCAACCGATGTCATTCTCTTGACTTGGAGCTGGAACCACCCCATTAATCTGTATAACAGGGTTGGTCGAGCAGGAATCCATCGTGTGAAATAGCATAAGTATTATAAACAAACAATTTATAGTTTAAATGTCATATGTTTAAGCTTATCCTACCCCATGTTATGCACCTCGTCTGTAGGAAGGCCATAAGACAGTAAGATGGACAGTTCACAAGGAGACAGGCCTAATCTTCTGTTCTTAAGTTCAGATTGTAATATCAACTTGTGATTGGTTGCTTCATAAAACCCCTCAGCCATACTTTACAAAAACTCCCATGGAGTGGGTTATGTGATTTCTTGGTGTATTATTTATCACGGTATGATGTAGCCCCCCGACTTCATCTTGATTTCCCACAGGCCCCAGAATCCACGGATATTCGTTTCAAGCTGGCAAGTTCTTCGAAACTGTCCAACTCTATTAGCCACCACTGAATGTACTGATGGAAGAATGAAGGTAGATGAATTGCATGAGCTTGTATACAATCACCTTTGTGTGCTGGCGATTAGGTTCCTGACTCTGAGAATGAGGGTTCGAATCGCGAATGGGACTCAACCTAACAAAAGTACTAGAATCTGTACTTTACTGAGAAAGTGTAATCCCAAATATAACATATGTTACCTGAAGAATGGAGGTCATATAAAGATAAGATTCTTCTCTATCTTCCACAAACTTTTCTGTGAGGAAATGTCAACTTTCCCCATCCTCATCTGCTAATTCTTGCAAAGCTTTCAGATATTGAGTTTGTAACCAAGCCCCCAATTCAAAGTTATTTAATAATTTTAAAATAGGAAAAGGAATTTCTATGACAGATGTCTGCACCCTAGTGCGATAAGAAAGAGAATGTCATTTGGGCGTGACATGGTCAACCAGGGCAAGGTGCATGCTTACAATAACTGCCCACAAGAGATGGAACTGTGTTTGGGTGAGGTGTTAGAAGTGGCTGAAAACTTTGTTTTAGCTTATTTCAGCTTGGATATGCTGACAATCAGGTAGACCCTCAGGAGATCAGCGCCACCAACAACACCAGCCTGGTATTGAAAGTGTCGCTGTGAAAGTGCTTCAGTGCCACAGGTGATCATAGTTGATTACTAAAAGACCTCCAAAGCAGACTCTGTTTGACTAAGGGGATTCAACCTCTGACTCAGGTTTCACCACACTGGATGGGTAAATATATCCAGCACCTGAGGATCATGCATGAATCTCTCCCCAAGGTCTTCTAGGTGGCTGAGCTTCAGGCTCCAATCTGATCATGCAAGCTAGTGTTATCAATCAAAGAAGTTCAGACTATCCGGCTCACATTACTATCCTCTGCTCTGCTGAGTAATCAAGATGGAACAAGACTTTCTTCGTCAGATAGACCCGGTTGGGATCATTTCAGTTCAGAAGCTTTATTCCAAGTTAATCAGCTTATTGCGAGTGTCGTAAGGAATGTTAACTCCATTAAAGTTGTTTTAAGTTTAAGTTGCAGTTTGGCAAATCTTTATAGGCCAGTGATCATGCCTTTATATGAAATGCATGATGATTCTGTAATGATATGTTGCACATAAAACTTCCACAGGGTTTGAACTTTGCACTTTGGTCAAACACAGAGCATTGGACAAATGGGAGACAGCATGAATAGCTGTTTTGAATTCCTATTTGTTGATGTGAAGGGACTGGTTGTTGAAGCGACCACAACACTGCCACTCAATGATCAAGCAGATGTGGTCCTCAAACTTGTAAGGACGCATCTATGAGGAGATTGTGCATTGCTACAAACGGAATCAAAGAGACTGTCGCAATCAATGTAGTCTATCTGGCATCAATGGAGGAATGAAGGTAGATGAATCTTACAAGGTACTGACTTTGGAAGACTTGGTGCAGTCGTAGCTGTTGAAGAGTTCTTTCTTGTCTCACCCTGGTTGATGGAACAACCGAGCAGTGAAACAAAGTTGATTCTGGAGTGACTGAGTAGTGGCATGAGTTGTTTGCAATTGTCTATGTACTCTTCGAACACAATCCCCCTTCGTTGGAGGAACAGTGTGATGAGCTCATTGAGGCAGGTGGACCGTCCATTGGTTATATATTCCTTGGAAGACAAGCAAAGAAATTTCTTCTGAGCTGGGAAATTGGTACATGTAGATACACATCCTGGAGATTGGGGTGTATCATGTAATCCCCTGAATTGTTGATCACATGAAGGAACACAAAAAAGACCATCCAGAAGTGAGGAGGTGGTTTCAGATACGGAGTGCTGAAAATCTTTAGCTTCAAAAGCTTCAATGAATTTTTCCCCAGCTAGGATTCAGCAAAACAGCCATCTCAGGTTCTTGCTAAGTGGAGGATAGATGAGCTTTCTTTGTCCTCTTGGGCCTTTCTACTGGAAGACAGAACAAACTCTTCTGTACTTGTACACATATCTGTACTCAGTTTCAAGTACACAGCAAAGTCGTCATTCTGGTCACAAGATGAACATAACTTTCCCAACTACAAATATAAACGATCTGTTTTTCTTCTTTCGACCTGATCTTACTTTCTTACAAATATAAAAGCAATCTTATGCAGGAGCAATGAGAGTCAAATGAAGAAAACCATCTTCAGCATCTTCCACAAACTATCCTCTTCCATGAGGCTGTGTCATCCTTTCCCATTTTGACAATACTTGCAAATTTCTTAGGTGTTCCAAATGTAGCTAAGCACCCAGATAAGTATTAAAATTATTATATTCATTCAAATATTGTACAAATTGTATATTATATTCAATAGGAGTTTTGCTGTTTACAAGATTTCATGACTCATTTTAAGCACAAAACCACTGTTTATGACTGGAAATGAGACAACACTATTCTCAGACACTAAAGTTCATGCTAGAATCATCCATCTACAGGGTGAATAAATCTGGGTTTACTGATAATAATAACCACAGCAGCCCTGGTAGTAAGGTTGGGAAGAATGGTTATGTTGATAGACATACACCTGTAGCTCCCATTCAAGGATGGTGATATATCTGCTGACAATTGGACTCCCAAGATACCAAAGAACAGCATAGTCATAGGCAATATGTGTCTGGGGCTATGTTTTGGTAAAGGTGCATGTCCAGGCATGAAATACAGTTTACAACATTGTTGTTACAGCAACAGAGTACAAAGTCCAGTTTGTAGTTCAAGATAAGCACTGGCCAGCAACACAATTGGTGCAAGAGGTCCAGTCAGTGCTCAAGCTCCAGACTGAACTAGTGCTTCAGTGGTTGAAGGTAGGCACCAATGCCATCTGTATTCCAGCTTCTGGCATCACTCCAGCAATCCAAGGTAGGAGCCAGTGCTCTAGCTCATTCCAGCATTCTAGTCTCTGCTACTTTAATATTACGCAATTACATTAAAAACAACTTAAACAATAGACAAACTGACTCAAATTGTGAGTGAGAGAGTGAGTTTAGTTTTACACAGCACCCAGCAATATTTCCAGCGGTCTATAAACTCGGCTTGTGCAACATGCACACCTGAGCATTATCAAAGGAACCCATTATCTTCAACAAACATGACATGCACTATCAATTATAATGTTTCCAATTTTAATTTCACATTGTCACCATGTGTGAAAGTGAACAAAAAACTTCAGGAAATGTTAAAAGGCAGTCAGAAGTGACAGCTCACATGTCAAGTATACAGTGGCAAATGTTGACACTTGATATAATCTTTACCAAACAGCACACCAGTTAAGGCATCAAAAGGAAGAATATAAAATTACCATTCTCATGTGTTGTGCGTTAGCATCCTAACAACTAGTGAACAAACAATGAGAATTTCTATTGCTGGTATGGGTGTCTGTTGCAGATCCCCACAGCGTTCATGTGTACATACATAGTGTTTGCTTGGATGTCGCCTCTTCTCCACACCAACAACTGAGACTTTCTTTATTGTCTTCATATTCTGTGCAAAGAAACACTGTTGAGAGAATAATGGAGATATTCAAGGCTGCCTTTTTTCAGTGTTAGCCTATTATTCAATGAATACAATATCTGGTGATTATCATAATCAACATAACAAAATAATACACATAAAATAGTATTTAGCACAATATTAAAACTTAAAATTTAAGTATGATAGCAAAGAGCTAAATATTTGTGTAACACCATAACAACATCATGATATATGCAGAAATAAATGTTGTCAGAGTTCTGCACATTTATATATATTACTGATTAAAGGGGCACTGATCCAGAGCGATTAACAATTTAATTACGCACCCTAGCTGCAAGCTGGTCAGTCCCTGTTCCCTCAACCATGACGGACATTGGGACTGGGCTACTGTCCACCTTGGCAGAATTTCTTCAACCAAAACAGTGGGACATTAGGAAGGACGGATGCCCATCAGACGCCGTTATTTGAAACTATCCCCAGCAGTTCTTGTCTTATTGTAAATGTGGATGGTATTGTGGTATTCTGATCCAATTTTATCCCATTTTGGATTTTGGCCTCAATAATTAATCATGTCATGTGACAATGTCACGTATGTTGACCTATGACATTAATAACACACATTTGATTTATTTGAATCCGTAAAAAAATCAGTTCCACTTCGTCATTGCTAGAAATAAGTTAAAACTTACTTAGGCAAATAGTTATATACCGTTTTTAACTTAAGTACACAGCAAATGCTAAGATGCATTTTTCAAGTTCCGTTCAAATCCTCAAAACAACATCGATCCCTAAGGTTCTTTTAGGCAATTAAAATTGCATGCAATACAGCGATTACTACTCCGTTGCTGTGACCATGTTTGGTGGTATAAACCTACACGTTTATTTGTCATCATTCACTTGACGGTCAGTTAATGACTTTATAACAGTATGATTAGCGATAACACCACTCAGATTACCAGACAAAGGTTCCCACTTGGCATTTCTCACGTCTGGAGTATATACTCAACATCATAAATTAAGGTTTGATGTGGCAAATGTATTACATGATATGTAATATGCGCATGGAAGTGCAGCAGGAGGAATTATCAGCTGAGTTAAAAAAAAAACTTCGATCAAAGGATTAATTGATAACACACTGATTGAATAATAACTTTTATCTTGCACAGCAGATTTGTCGAAAGGTAGTGTTTATGTATGTAAGTGCCTGTGTAAAAGGGTCAAACTAGATACCCATGAACTAGAGACAAGACCAAATATTTTGACCTATCAAAACTAATTGCGCTGTCAACGTTCATTAAAAAGGGACCAGGTCCCCCCAAGGGTTCAATTTAAAAAAAAAATTGAGCCCTTGGGAAGTCCCTTATCCCGTAGCCCCATTGTGTATACTACTACTGAGTTGCATGCAAATTTGATGAAAATCGGTCGAATAGTTTCTGAAATATTTAATTTTTAAGCGAGCTTGGGGTCGGTTGGGAAAAAAGGCTCGGGTCGCCTCGGGGATGGTTGCTCCTCCGAGCGCGGACGTTGGCGGACGAGTCGCAGTGTGTGTGTCTCTCTCTCGGCTTGGTGTACGGGTAGCTGGCTGGCTGGCTACAATAAGCAGAAAAATAGGCATGCAAGACTGATAAAAAAATCATGACGAGAAACTATCATCACACGGTGTGTGATGTGTAAGGGACTGTGTCGTGAGGTACGATCAGCAACTCCTCTCTGACGAATGCTCTCGGCGGTCCCTCTTTCAAGTAGTACAAGTTTGGTTCACCGTCTTTGATGTCGACAAGGTCTATGTTGTATGTTTTCATGGACCATATCGGATCTGTGGCGCGTTTTTTGCTGTCTCCCTCGTATTCTCCCAGCTGGAACAAGTACCTAACGCTGACTAGGTCCAGTAATGTTTTCTCTGTTTTATCGCGACGTGCTGCTGCAGACAGCGATTTGACAGATTTCATTTTGATGGCTTCGACGGTTCTCTTGCTCACGAGTCTGGTGACTTCGTTGTTGATGACATCCACCACTCGCGGTAAGTGTATGACCAATTCCGTGTTTCTGTTTCCGGGATCCATTAAATCCTGTGAGTATTGGTGCGAGGACAGGCGTTCGGCTAGGGTGCGATTGAATCTCTCAACAATGGCTTGGCTACGGTGAGCCCCCGCTATACCTCGTCTCACTTGGACTTTGTGCTTGGCCAGCAGCTGCAACACGACTTCCATGAACTCGCGGGATCGCCTTGCAATACGGTAGGCCATGTCAAGCGACTGCGTTTGTATATGCGTTCAAAGGCTTTGCCGACTTCGTTTGAAACTTTCGTTGTCAACGGTTCTGCTTCCTTGTAGCGACTGGCGACGTCTACGAGGGTCAGGGCGTACTTACTTGTAGGTTTTGCGCCTCACCCTGTCATGAGGGAGAAACAGGAGGTCGGCTTGTGGACGTGATTCGGTGTTGAAATGTCGAATTTTCTTCTCAGGATGTATCGAGGAGCCAGCAGGTAGACTTGCCAGATGGCTTGTTTTTTAAGCCACGCTTTGGCTTTCTCTTCCGGGCGGCTTTGGCGAGTTTCGTGATGGCGTCCGCGCTTTCCCAGTACCCTCGCAGGCTGTAATAAATTTTCTTCATGATATATGTATGCAAGTGTGCGTAAGCGTTCAATTATTCGATACGCGTTTGTGCCTGTACGCATAAGTGATGACTCCGTCGATGGCGATCCATCGTTTCGTGTCCATGGGAGACAGCAAGGTCTTGTTGATTCTCAGTCTGTATATCCTGTGTCCGTCCCTTCTCAGCATGTTCATTTGGTATTTGAACGTTTTATTCTTAAACAGGGCTTCCTTGAATCTGGTGTGCTTGATGTGTTTTTTCACCACGTTTTTTCACGACTTTCGCCTTTCGGATTTCACCGTCGTCGGCTTTTTGGATGGATTACATCTTGGGTCTCAAGCCGATGTAGGGTAGTCGCTGATGTCGTACGGGTGCCTGTGTTTCTTCATGTCCTCGTACACGTCCTCGGTGCGAATTTCCATCAGCAGGGAATCCGTGTCAGTGTACCGCACTTCGCACCTGTTGCCGTACTGCTTTTTCAGCTCGTTGTAGTAGAAATCGTACATCAAGTGTTTGGATAAGTCGAGGATGCTCATCCCCACGTAAAAGGGTCGGTTGAATTTAATGTGGCTTTTGTTCATGTGCAGCGTTGCCAAGTCGTCATCGAATATCTTGCTTCGATTGAATGCCAGGCTGGCTATGAGTTTCCTGAGTTTTTCTTCCTCGATGGAACTGACTAATTTCACGTTAACACGTTTTCTCAAATTCTCCATCGTCTTGCCGAAAACTGAGTTGTTCATGAGCTTGTACAAGTTTTTTTCGAAGTCTCTCGAGGCTTGTTTTCGCAGATTCGTGTACAACCGAATGTAAGGTTCCATCCATGGACTTTGATCGAACTGGAGCGCCCTGTGTATTTTCGTGAGTTTCATTCCCAGCGACAAGTACAGCTGCAGATTGCGATAGTGAACGACGTATTTTGACTTGTTCATCAAGTTCGGCACGAGGTTTTCGACATTAGCCAGCAAGTTTCGTTGATATTCAGACATCTAGTCCGGGTTCACTGTCAATCGTTTGGGAGCTAGCGAGTAGCTGTTGTGCGATTCGTGTAGTTCTGCAGGATAGTCCAAGTCCACTTCGAGCATGTAATCTTTGTTTGAATCCGGCGCGATGCGTCTCGTCGACCAATCATCCATGTACTCGTAGGGGTAGACGTCCTTCCTCAGCAGCAGGGGTCGAGTCTCGGCGCCGGTGTATGGATTGGTGACGTCAATGTCGTCCATGTTGTTGGTGTTCACCAGACTGTCTAGAGACGACAGCAGGAACTGAACGCTATCGATAAATCTCAGACCGTCTAACGAGAACGAGATATATTTTTCCATGTTGTTGGGGATGTACGAATGTTGCCGTCGACCTTCGCGATGGCCTGCATGATCAGGTGAGAATCGTAACCGCGAAGATTGTGAAACACGATGGGGATTTTGATGGTCTTGGGATTGATTTTGAGCTTCAGGTTGCACGCGTTGTGAGCGGCACCTCTGTACTTGCCGATGACGTGGCAGCGATATCTCATGACATCCCCGTTCAAGGGTTCGTCACACACGCAGCAATTCTTAGCTTTCTTAGGAGTTCGCCAGTTGTCTTGGGTCATACGCATGGGGACGATGGTGTACAACTGTTTCTGGATGATTTTCTCTTCGTTTTGCAAACACGTGAGAAATCGTTAGGCCGTGTCGGGACCTCGGTAGACCACGGGAGCGTTCGTTATCCCGTCTGATCGAACGAGCACGTAACCGAACCCGCAGGCTTCGTGTTCTTGCATTTTATGCATGAAACTTTTTTCCGGGGACGACAATGCGACAGTGATGAGGGCTTCGAAGTCGGCATAGATGACATAGGGCACGGGCATTTGATGTTTGTGGTTGAAGAATTTTAGCGTGTTTTTCTTTTCATCGGGCATGTCTATTCGGATGGCCATCTCTCCCATGCCTCGGCAATCTGTTGAAATATTTTATCCACGTGTAGAGATACTCTCCGCCTTGCTGGAACATGAATATTTTGATCGTCTTGCGGTGTTCGTTTGTGAGGGAGCTGATCCTGTGCACGATCATTTTATTCCCTTCGTGTCCGAAGATATTGATGGCTATGTCGCCTTTCTGTTTTTCGATTTTTGTGACCTGGGATATGGAGGTGGGTTTCGTCTATGCCATCCCAGTTGATCCCATCGTCTTCGGGATAGCTCGAAAGTCTGTCTGAATGTGCTTTGACCAGAAACTCCGCGGATCTGATTGCAACTCTCAAGCAATCATCGCCTTTGTTTTGGCTTGCTTTTTCTTGTAGTACGGTGGCAAGTCTAGGTACGACCCTCCTTTGAACGGTACGTAGTTCGAATGTTGACGAATGTTTTTCCTTCAGACGACATCGTGTGTGTATATATAAAATATATATATATTTATTTATTTTTATAACATAACATGCGGATTTATTTCTAA